GGACTACAGCTGTGTTACTGATAAGCAGTATCAGGAGTCTAGGCTGGTAGACAGCAAATCTACACTACATTATGCTATGCTGTGTTTCTCAACACTGATGTTAGTGAAAAAAAAGTAACAGACCTTTTTTTTTTTTTGAGAAAAGGTCTTGCTATGTAGTTCAGGATGGTCCTAAACTCACTATATTTAGGCTGGCCTTGAATTTACAGTGATTCTCCTGCCTTAATCTCCAAGAAAGCTGGGATTACCAGCTTGTACCAGCACTCCCAGCCAGTATGTCCCTTTTAAATGCTCTCAAAGAACTGAAAGTATAAATAAGGACCAAAAGTGAGACAAGAAAGAAAACATGGAAACAATGCTTTTAAAAGGGAGGGGAGGTGGGATCAAAGGGAGAGTAGGGAAATGGAGAAAAAAGTTACATCATGTACAGGTACAAATTCTCTATGATGAATATAATCACTATGTATGTTTAAAATGTACCAATAAAATCTAATTGAAAATAAATAAATGTTCTCAAAGAACAAAGAGAAACCCTGATCTTCAGGCCAGTTACTAAACTGCCCCACTGGAGATAGCTGTTGAGTTGCCTGTAGAAGATTTGATAAAACTTCCACTCCACCTTCAGAAAAGGGTAGTGAAGTTTGGTGTGGTGGCACAGACCTGTAATCCCAGTGATACTGGAAGCTGAGGCAAGAGGTCTCTAAATTTAAAGTTAGCGTGGGCAATTTAGCAAAATCTCGGACCAGCAATATAGCTCAGTGGCAGAGCATTCTTGGGTTCAATCCTCATTAAAGACCCCCCAAAAAAGTGGGTATACGATGCATCAATATGTACATGTATACAGAACTGCCCTCAAGGATATGAAGTTCAGTGAGATAGTGAGAGAAACCAAGGTAGTAGGTGAAGCTTGTTAAGAGTCTACAGCTAAAAGATAGAAGAAAAAATAAATAAATAACATGTGGGAGAGATACCCACGGCTATGGCAGATTTTAGGGCCGCGAGATACCATAAGCCCTTCATGTCAATTCTCTGCCTCCTTTAAACCTATTCATTCCTGCCTTCTCCCTAGAAACCCTCCATCAGATTTTCTTCAAAAGACTATCTCTCAAAATACAAATGCTGACAGATCCTAAAATTAACCACAGCTGGCCTTAAAGGACACCAACGATATTCTGGAAACCCTGTGACAACCAAAGGACCCCTACTGCGTTACCCACCAATGCTGAGTGGATCATTTTGACTAATACAAAGCGGGTTACATTAACTCTCCCTGTAGCAGTTAGGGTGGATGAGTATTTGTGTTTTAAAAACTATAGCTTATAAGCAAAATTAATATGAAGAGGTCAGAAGTCAGAGTCCTGAGAAAAGAGCAAGGCATAGTGCTGAGGGAGGAAGATAATAAGTTCAAAGCCAGCCCCATCAACTTGGCAACTGCCTGACTCAGAGGTCTAGGGATGCAGCGCTATGGTGAGCAAGCACACTTGGCTCCGGGCAGATCCTTGGTAACACACACACACACACACACACACACACACACAAGATATATGTACAGGCCAAATTGCTCAGCGGATTAAAGTGCCTGCTTAGGCACAAGCAGGGTGCCTGCTTAGGCAAACTTAAGCAAAGCATAGGGACCACGGTTCAATCCCTGGCACCATATACCTCACTAGTCCTACCCCTAGGGTGGGCTGAGCTGGCCATAAATCAATCAATAAATAAATAAGTCTTAAAAAAAAAAAAAGAAACGGGTCGAGAGTTCCATCCCGCTGCGTGGCTCTGCTTCCATGGCAACTGAGACTGAGAGTGGTGTTGTGCCTGTAATCTCAGCACTTGGGAGGCTGTAAACAAGAGGATCACTACAAGTCCAATCAACGCAGTGAGACCCTGTAGACCCTGTCTTAAAATACCACAAAAAAAAAAAAACACCCAAGTATATGGGCCGGTGAGATAGCTCAGCAGACACTTGCTTAGGCAAGCATGAATCAATCCCTGGCACCACATGCAGCAGCTCCACCTCCACGGCAGACTGAGGCAGCCACAGAAATCTGGCATAATCCCAGAGCTGGGGAGGCTGAAAACAGAAGAATCACTATTAGTCCAAGCTGCATAGTGAGACCCTGTAACAACCAAATACATTAAAAAAAAAAAAAAGTATAGTAAAAAAATGAGTCTTCTACAGAGTACCTATACTAACAAACTCACGCTAAATTAAAAAGTGTTTCATATACATGTGTTCATACCTCATCTGTGACCTACATTTTTTCCTTCAAACCACAACCTTTTATGAAAATTAACTCAAAAGGAAAAGTTTTGAAATCAAAGTGAGATTTATACACCTCAGTTGCAACTTCAAGATACCATCATGACTAAGCTCACATGACTCAGAACTTTCCTAAATTATGCAATTCATAACAGTTCAGATGAAATCATTTGGGGTGACCTATAGCGTACACCAAAAGCCAGGCTTCTATTAAATATATACATATATATTGTATAAATCATGTATTTGCCCTTCAGAAAAATCTCATATATATAATCATAATGTTGTACTGATCAGGTGTATGACATTTTCAGGACAAATACACTAATATAATATGAACTACACTCTTTAAACTATGAACCCATTGCTGATCTTGACCACTCCATCTAAATAATGTAAGGGTTAAGAGGAGTAACAACTGTCAAACAAACCTATTAATCTACTATTCTTCAAAGAGCCCATCACTATGTGAACTTGACCACTCCATTTTTCTAAAACCTTTTTCTCCCGGTGATTAAAAGACTTTAAGGCCCACTCCCACAGGTAAGTCTCTCTCTCCTGCTGTTAGAGGCATTCTCATCTCTTTCCTCTTCGCTTACTTCACTTAAAGTCTGTGCTTCAATACCTTCCCAAACACATCTGATGCGCCCCCTCACAGTAACACCTGCCATGCTGTGACCTCGCACTGTCTCCCATGTTGTTTTAATAGTGTTTGTTTAGCCCTCTGCATGAGTCTCTATTCCATCAGGCTATAAACTTTTAAAGATGGGTCTCATCTTTGTATTTCCAATGGCACTCATAATACCTGGCAATGTGAGGTCAAATATTTGATGAATGGGCTGGGGAGATGGCTCAGTGGTCTAAGGCGCCTACTTAGAACAAGCTTAGCAAAGCACAGGGACCGCGGTTCAATCCCCCAGCACCACATGCCAGCCAGCCCCGCCCCCTAGTGGGCTGAGCTGGCCACACACACACACACACACACACACATAAATAAATAAATTAAAAAAAAAATATTTGATGAATAAATGGGTAAGTCCATGCATGTTTCTGGCACCAAGAGTCTCCATTTCCTAACTTTTATTTATTTTTGGTTTTTTGAGACAGGTTCTCACTGTGTAACACGAGGTTGTCTTGAACTCACAGCATTCTTGCTTCCTCAGCCTACCCAATGCTGGGATTACAGGCTTGCATCACCATGCCCAGCTATTTTCTGAATTAAAAACATTGTCAAAAAAATAAAAATAAAAGCACCATCAGAAACCTTGACAATTTGCAAGTGTTGCTAAAACTCAATCTAGAAAGTAATCTTTTTCCTCCACACTATAGATTTATGCTTATTTCTCTCACCTGTGAATGGGAATAAACGTTGTGAAAATATGTAACATCTCAAAATGCACACTTGTTCCATTTGTTAACATTTATCCTTAAAACAAAGCCAATCCCTACTTTAGCCATCATCTTCACCCATACTTCAAACTGCCTTCAATTTGTAGTGACATCACATCTCAACACTTTCTAACTGGCTTCCTTGCCTTCCTTTAAACCAGGCACTTGTAACACATTTCAAAATAAGACAAAGAGGTGGCTGTTAAGTTATTCAGGTGTGAACACTCAACAACTCTCTATCAGTCACTCTTTTCTATCCATTAAATTAAGAAAAAAACTGCCAGGTAGATAATGTGAAAATAGTCATTAGCCATTAAAAAAAAAAAACTATAGGGTCTCAATCTGCACAATACATGGACCTGTGGAGGGATTTGGGGACCAGGCCAACCAAGAAAAACGACAAGTCTGCAACTTCACACATTGGATAATACACCATTTCGTATTTTATTACATATTTATTACATATTATAACCAAGCAATGTTACCTGTCAAATTCTAAAAGACAAACGATACTGAGATAGTATTATTGACAGAATCTTTTACCAAACTTCACATCCAACACGTGCTCCCCATTAACATATACTCTCTAGAAAACTCAAATAAGCACCCTGTGTTTTCCAGATAATTTCTTGGTTTAAAACACAAGGAAAGTTTTCATAGAGGCAGCCTAGGTTTTCAGTCTCCCCAATCAATCGCCTTCAATAAACTACAACGGCCCAACCCATTGGAGCACACCTGCCATCCTAGAACTCTCGGGAGGCCGAGGCAGGAAGTTGACATGCTCAGGTCCTGCCTAGACGACATAGCAAGACCCTATCTCAAAATTTAAGAAAGGTGAGGAGGGGCTGGGTGCTGTAGCTCAGGGATAGAGCACCTACGAGTTCAATGTCCATTATCACCAACAAGAACAACCACAACAACAACAACACATACACACTCAAATAACTTAGAAAGTGCTTAGGAAGGTCGCAAAATCCATCTTCAAGACTACAAATCCGGACAGAAGACGCCAATGAGGCTGCTCCAGCCACCGCCTCCCAGCCTAAATACCATCCTGAAAGAAACGAGCTCGCTCCTCGGAGCCGGGAAGGAGTCCGAGTCTCGAGTCCGAGGAACACCCTCCCCAGCACTGATTTCTTAGCAAGGCAGGGGCCTCGGCCACATCTGCCTCTGCAAATACGAGCCTGTAACACCACCCGTCACCCAGAAACACAAAGCCGGGTCCGGTGCCCCGCCGCCTGGCCCTTCCGCAGCGAGGCAGAGCGGGGAGCCACACCCCCTCCTGCGCGCAGAGCCGAGGACCGCCACAGCCGCCACCCTCCGCCCCGACATCTGACCGCCCGGCCCTCACCGAGTCGCTGGTAGGAGCCGGTGCCCGACGCGTCCGGGGGTCGCGGCGCCAGCACGAAAGGGAGCAAGCTGGTCAGGAAGAAAAGACGCTGCCTCATGTTCTCGGCCCGCCAGCTGTCCACCTCTCGGCAGCTATGCGCTGACGGAGTTTCGGAAACCTCTCACATGGAGGCAAGGAGGGGAACCGGCCGACCAGCCTCTCACGCCTCTCTTCACGCCCGCGCCGCCCACCAGGAAGACGCGAGAGCCAGACTCCGGACCTCCGGAACCGCGGGCGGCACTCCGCGAGGGCGGCTCAGCCCGCTTCCGGCCGCCGCCAGCCCCCGCACCGCCCACAGCCGGAAGCCGGAAGCCGCGCGGCACGCCGGGAGGCCCTGCCCGCGCCGGCGCTGCGCCACCTTCAGGCCCTCGGCCAGTCCGACTCGTCGGTCCGGCGGGGCTCGGCTGGCGCACCGCACGGTGTCCTCGCCTGACCCCACCCTGGCCGCTCCTCTGTCCCCGGGTGACCGCGGAGGAAGGCGAGAGTTCCCGAGCCGCCTCCACCCAAATAGCCACTTATATTAGGGGCCCTGTTCACCTTTTTAGGGGAGCTGAGATGCGCCCTGACCCCGGCCGGGAAAGCAAGGACGCACGCACCTGCCTCGGGCGAGGCCCTGCCGGGTGTGCTGTAGGGCGAGGTGGGGCGCAGGTCCAGCCGTGCTGCCCAGGGACAGGCCTGCACCTCCTCGCCCGCCACTGTGAGCTTGACCTCGGATGCAGAATAGGTGCCCAGCTAGGCGACGGGAGAGGCCTGTCCCCACCTGGTCGTGAAAGGTTGGGCGGATGGGGACGCGGTGGCACATGCTTGTAATCCCAGTACTATGGAAGGCTGAGGCAGGAGGATCTTAAATTGGAGCACAGACTGGGCAGTTTGGCGGCTTTAGTGAGACCCTGTCCCCCAAAAAGGGTGCTAGGTGGGCGACAGAGTAAGGGAGCGCTAGGTGCTGGAATCCCGACCTGCTCCTTGCCATATTGCAGGAGCCGAACTCTGCCCACTGATGCCTGCGGGTTTGGTCCTGCGCTTGGTTTATTTAACTGGGAATGGATGTTTCTTAAGACAGTCCGTTTTGCAGTACTTCGCACAGTTTTAGCTCCATGTAGTTTATAGAGTTTACGGTACTGAATAAAACTATAACAAGGATGGATGCAAATGTTACTGTAGCTCAGCTAAAGTTTATACAAGTAGGACCCAACACATTTTCCACTTAAAAAGTGGGACAGCCAGTATGACAAAATAGTAAATTGTTAGCAATAAAGTAATAGCCCTGGTCCTGTTTCAAGCCTTGTTCTTAAAAAAAAAAAACTTAATGGCTTATGTTTATTTTTGTTCCTCTCAGTATAATTTTAGCATTATTTTCAAGTTAGTGGTTTTGTAGACTTGGCTTAAGGCAGTTGAATCTAGTCTACATCTGAGGGCAAAATGCCTTCGTTGAATGTAGACATTAATGACCTCCCTCATCAAAAAGTAAGCAGTTTCGGGGCCGGGGAGATGGCTCAGTGGAATAAGCGCTTCCCTGGCAAGCACAAAGGCCTGAGTTCAATCCCCGGTTCCGCAAAAAA